ACTCAGTGTCTTAAGAACTTTGGTGGAGATGGGAAGTCTCACTCTTTATTGGTCCTAAAACATTGATCCATTGTTGCTCTCTAATCTCTCTCAAATAAGAGTTATATATATATCTTGGTTTGACTAAGTGGGGGAGCAAGAAAACAAAGTGTTTGAATCAATTATCATGATATGGGATACTCATACTTAAGAGATATCTTGTAGGGTTCAAGTGTGAGTTTGGTTCAGCTTAGCGATGGTGATATAAGATAGTCATATTTGATAGAGAGATTGTTGGATTCAAGTGTGAGTTGTAAATTCTAAATCAACTATGAATATCGATTACTTCAACATGTGGTATTTGAGCTAATGCTAATATAAGTATAAGATCTAAAAAACTTATGGAGTAAAAAAAAGATTGTTGACCTTTTAAGTGTGAGTGACTAGTCTCTTATTCATTTATAAATATAGGGGTGTTGACATGCCGATTCCGTCCGATTTCAAGAGAATCCAATACCTAAATTGATCAAAAAAATATGGATTGGTATGGATTGAATTTGTACTTTTTTTTATTATAAAACCTAAACCAAAACAAACTGAAAAATAACGATTTGGTTTGGGTTGAGTTGATCCAATATATTAGAAACAAATGTACCAAAATATTTTTAGAAAATGTCTAATTTACATTGATTAATTTCTATAATAATATAAAAATTTTAATTTTTTTCTCCATGTAGTTGTAAATGTCACAAATGACGTTTCATTTTTTTTTTGAATCGGTTAGTGTTTTAGCCAGATAACCATTCAAAACGTGTCTATTGTTGTTTACGAATTTAACTTTGATTTATTAACCTCATAATTATACTATATATCTCAACCAAGATAGCGCACATACGAAGAGAATGCAATATTATTATGTAGTACCGACACATTTAAAAAAACGTGTATGTGTCAGTGTAGGTGTTTGAATCTGACACTTATATTTATGATTATATTTAATTAATTAATTATCGGCCCAATGTGTTAGAGTAGAGGTCGTGTCCTGTCTACCCACCCCTTTCAAATTGAGCTATTCATTGGAAAAAGGTTTAACTAATTAGAAAATAACACAAACAATTATTTTTTTGACCATTTTTTTTAGCTTGTTTATGAAATGATCAAATAAAGAAATCCAATACAGGGCAATGGGCAATACCTAAGTTCTGATTATAAACTGTAGGTCGATTATTAACTACTGTTAATTAATTTGATATTTAATTGATCAAATTTGTATAAAAAAATGTTTTTATTTTTATTTTTATATTTAAGTAATCAATTTAGCCTCTTCAACTGATTATGAAGATTTAAAATTAATTTAGATACCTTTGATGTTTATCTTAATATAAATGATTTAGCCTCTTAAGTTTGTTTTAACTTTGATAGAATCTTAAAAAAAAAAGTGTTTGGATGAAGCAATTTAATTAGGGAAAATAATTTTTTGAGAAAATTTAAAATGAATTTGATTAAAATTTATTTTTGGATAAAAAATATGAGAATTATTAAAATGATGATAAATTTACGAAATATTTTATTCAAGTTAAATTTAAAAATTTTTATATAATAAGAAAAAAAATAAACTATTTGAAATTGTTCCATAATTTAAATGTTAAATTGTTTCTTATTAATTTTTTAAAAATTATAAAATAGTCCTTATATTTTATGAAAATCACAAATTCATCTGCAATATTTTCAAAAATTACAAATAACTCTCAAATAAATTTTAAATTTTATAAATTGGTCCCTTAGAAATCTCAAAAATTGTAAATTGGTCTCTTAAAAATCTCAAAAATTGTAAATTGGTCCCTACTTTTGATATTTTAAATTTGACTAAAAAATTTTAAAGTTTATAAAAATGACCCCAAAAATTTAACAATGAATCATTTTAATACTCCATCCAAACAAAAGAATTTAAAATGAATGAATTTCAATTGAATAATTTGAACTGCTTAGAATTTCAAATTTCTTAAAAAATTTCAATTACTTCGTCCAAACACGTGTTTGGATGAAATATTTTAATAAGGAAAAATAATTTTTTGAGAAAATTTAAAACGACTTGATTAAAATTCATTATTTGGATTGAAAATATAGAGAATTGTTAAAATAATGTAAAATTTTGAAGTATTTTATTCAAGTTAAATTTAAGATATTTCAAATGACACAAAAATGTAAAGAATTCGAAATTGCTCGTTCACTCTATATAATGTAAATGTTAAATTGTTCATTATTAATTTTTCAAAATTTTTTAAATGGTCTTCATATTTTATGAAAATTTCAAACTCACCCCAAAATTTTTCATAAAATTACAAATAAGTTGCTAATAATTTTTCAAAATTTATAAATTAGTCCCTTTAAATTTTTAAAAATTGAAAATTAGTCCTCATTTTTCATATTTTAAATTTGACTAAATATTTTTAAAATTTATGAAAATGACCTCTAAATTTTAACAATAAATCATTTTAATATTTTGTCCAAACAAAATAATTTAAAAATGAATGGATTTCAATTGAATAATTTAAATTGGTTAAAATTCTCAATTACCTCATCCAAACACACTCTAAAAATAAATGAGCTTTTGTACATGACAAATTTATTGTGTTGCTAGTGTACAATAATTACAATAGAAATTATGTTATACTATTACTTTCATTAATATCCTTTTAATATCTCTTACAAAATAATTCTTCAAACTTTATGTGAAGAAGTGCTTTGATCCTTACATCAACACATTGATGATAACTTGAAGAGAATTTCCTATGGCACCCTCGTCATACTCTAAAATTTGCCATATCCTTTCCACCTACATCCTAAGATTCATATACCTCATATCAAGAATCCACATATAGCATAACATGCATCCATAATCATTCATTTGCATTGAGCTTCTAAGACATGGAATCAAAAAGAGATTCTTGTAATTTGGGGTCTGTCCAAATCAAGAAAAGATTCATCTGGTGATTACACAAGCTGAAGCAAGAGTTGAGTTCATATGGTCTTGATCATCTCCCTAAGTTTCATCACTCATTCATTGGCTCAAGAGTTTCCTCATATCAAGGGACAAGCTAAGGATTTACAAGAAACAAGGACATCAAGCTCCATTTCATTACAAACATCAAACGAGGGTTTTGGTCAAAGTCAAACTTGATATTGACTTTTTAACCACAACATAATCCCATGGCTCAATACATGATTCAAGGTGTCCCAACACACCATTGTGGTCCATTCATATGGTTTTATTGGCTTAAGAAGCTTGAGATATTGATAGATGAAGAAAATTGGTTCAATTGCCAAAATATCAATTGATGCCCAAAGTCAAAGTTTGACTTTTGGGATCTTTGGTCAACCATGAATTTTCCAAGTCAAGATTCATGAAATATGGAATTTTGATCAAACTGAATCATGAAAATCAAGAAAAATGTGAATTTGAGGTGTTTGGAATATTTTTTAAGTACTAAAAATCATGTTCATTTGCCAAACTTTCCAAGGTTGTGGAGATTGATTAAAACATCCAAAATTGGTAAACAAAGGCTTTCATTGAAGATCTCACTTGATACTACATGTTAAAAAAGGTTTGAACTCAAAAGCTTCCTGCAATTGAGAGATATTTGGAGCCAAAGTCAAGGCTTCACTCTTTGTACAATTTCCAATAACTTAGAAATTTTTCTATGTGTTGAAGCATGTTCATGTTCATGACTTTCAAGGCATTTTGTGGTTGATCCAAGCACTCAATGGAGACACATGTGATATGCAATTGAAGATGGAATTTGATACTACACCATGGTGCAAAATTTGGTCCAAGAATCATTCTCCAAGTGGGAGATATTTGAAGATAAAATAAGGGTGTCAACATTGTGCAAAACTGCCAATAACTTAGAAAATTTTCTAAGTGTCATACAACAATGATACCCCAACTTCATGCATTCGATTTTGTATCATGCAAGCCTCATCTAAAAAATGTTCCAACATGAAAGTTGTACATTGCAACAAGACCTTTTCAGAAATACCACATTTGCTCCATTTGAATCATCCTACCTCAAGTTGTGATCCTCCAAAGTAGCCATATTAACATATTTTTAACCATGTATATTTTTGCTACCAAGTTATGCATGATGATTTATTCACCAAAGATCAAGTTATCGGTCCATTTTTGAGGTTATAAGTCATTCATACAAGTCCAAAGCTCCATAATGTTAAAATGCAAAACAACTTCAAGTGTGAATACAAGCTTATGACATTTACATGGACTAATTTTATAATAATATAAAATTCTTGATTTTTTTCTCCGTTATGAATGTCACATGATATTTCATTATTTTAAAGTTAAATATTTTATATTAGTTCCCATGATAATGATGATATAAATTATATAAATTAATATAGTTAATTCGATAAACAAACTCACAGATAAAATTTTAAAAATCTGTTACCTGAATCAATTAATATTAAATTTCATTAATTTATTTTAATTTTTGTCCAAACTAAAAGAACTCTAAACCGAACACTATGATTTATTTTAGATTTTAATTTAGTTTAGATTTGTCCGGATCAATGAATACCCCTAACAAAATTATAAATATATAAAAGAATTGATGAAACCAATACATAGAAATGTGTTTTGTTTCTCTATTAGATATGTTTGGATATGACCATCTCACCTACTTGGGCTCATCTCACTCTCCTATGTGACAAGGACCATTCCCCTATATACTCAATTATCTATCTGTAAAATTTCATGGGGCAAACTAATTATTTAATCATGAAATAACCCTAAAGAATTAACAATAATCTAAACTATTTTCTCTCTCCTAATCTGTTCATCACTCTTCCATCATCTCTCTCCTTTTAGTAATTCATTTTACAGAAACACAGTGTCCTGATTTTCGACAACTTTCACAATAAATATCCTTATTTTCTCAGAAAAGGGATTGAAAATCGAGAAAAGGGTCGGAACCTGGAAGAACCAGTGGCTGTGGTGAGAGAGAGAGATGGGAGAGCGAGAGAGGGTAATGGAAGTTGAACAACATCATCAACAACAACAACAACCGGAAGAACAAGAACAAGAAACAAGCGAAACATCATCGTCAACAACAACATTAACAACAACAACAACATGGAAACAAAACCTTACAATGCAGTTATTATCAGACAAACTAACTAACGGAAACCTTAACTCTAAGATTGAAGCTGCAAGAGAAATCAGAAGAATGGTTCGTAAATCATCCAAAACCCGCTCCAAATTCGTTGCTCTTGGTGTTATTCAGCCGCTTATTTTTATGCTTTCTTCTTCCCATCTTGATGCTCGTCAATCTTCTCTGCTGGCTCTTCTCAACCTTGCTGTTCGTAATGAAAGGTGCTAAGATCCATTCTTTTTCTTGTTTCTTATATGGGTTTTGGGTTTTGCTTTTTGGGTATTTGTTAATTCTATGTTGTTGATGATTTTTGGTGCTGTTTAGTTATCTCAATGATTTTCAGAGGAATGTGTTATGCTATGATTGGTTTTGGACTAGGGATAGTTTTGTGAACTAGATGGTTGTTGTGTTTGGATTAGGTTTTTTTGTGTTCAATGTATGGCAAAGTTACTGGGGAGAGCCTTGAGGCTCAATCAGCCATGGTGGCAGAATGGATTGATTCGGTCTGTTTTTCGGTTGTGGATTTAGACTTTATTGTTTCTAGGCTAGAAATAACTCTTGTGACATTGACATGATTTGGTTTGTTTGGTATTCCTTTTTGCTTACATGCCTCGTCCCAGGTGAAGTTGTTACGTTGCGTGCGAACTAGATCTGCTCGTGATTGTTGTTATGGATTGGAAAATTCGGTTACTTTCACCTTTCTAACATCCTTTCTAACACTGCGCTACAGCTCCTCAAATCAAAGTCCTTCATCCTCCGTTCTCCCTTCATGTTTTAAGCAAGGGTCATTGATTATAAGTTATAGATCCTTCATTAAGGTTCATTAGTACTTAAAATTGATACCAAGTCCAAGATTTTCCATTCCATGTAAAGGTCCTAGGTTCCACAGTTATCAATAACGTGCCAAAGCTATTGCAGAGCAGACTCATGCTGCTATCCGTTCTCTGTTGTCTAGGGTTTTTCATCTAGTAGGGGTAAAGGGAATGGCTTAAAGTAGATTATACATTTCGCCAGTTATGAGGAAGCTTTAATTGTTGCAGTGCATCTTTCTGTCCAGAAGTTACTACTTTGCTGGACCAGCGGCTTTGATAGATTACCGATTATTACAAGTGTCGAACACCTGAAATTTACCCTCTTCTATCTAAAGCTAGTCCAAGATACATGTTTTATTATCCTTTGTTCTTTGACGAGGTCTAATTGAATCTAATGTACCTATTTGGTGGCTTCCACATTCAAAAGGTTCCATAGGTTGAAACCAAAATTTGTCTGCTCCTTTTCGGTGTTTTGCAATTTGATGTTTGAGAATAAGAAACCTATGTGTACAATGTTTGTATCTAATGTCTCCGCGACTGAGTTTTGGATATATTGTGTTTAAAGTAGGTGAAGCCCTATGTAGCACCGCCACCTCGGATAAAAGGTGCATCTGCGTTAGTGTTGGTGTCCAAAACCGATACCAACACTTGTAATTACATTTACTTTTTCCATTTTGTAAAATTTTTATCCGTGTCTACGTGTCAGTGTTGTGTTTTTGATGTCCGTGCTTTATTGTATTACTTTGTGATTTTGTGCTGTGTTCTTATCGCCATTCTTTACTTTTTGGTGTTATGTTTCTGAGTTATATAAGAAAGTTTTCTTTGTATGACATTTTGGAATTCACATTTGTTAGAAACAAGGTCCAAATAGTGACAGCTGGTGCAGTGCCTCCTCTGGTGGAGCTTCTCAAGATGCAAAATAACGGTATACGAGAATTGGCTACAGCCGCAATCTTGACACTCTCATCTGCTGCATCCAACAAATCGATTATTGCTGATTCTGGAGCTGCTCCTCTTCTTGTCCAGATTCTCAAATCCGGAAGTGTCCAAAGCAAAGTTGATTCTGTTACAACCCTCCATAATCTCTCCATCAGTATCGAAAATTCCATCGAACTTCTTGACGCTAGTGCCGTTTCACCTCTTATCAACCTCCTTAAAGACTGTAAAAAGTATTCAAAGTTTGCCGAAAAAGCTACATCACTACTTGAAATCCTCTCCAATTCTGAAGAGGGACGAATCGCAATCTCACTTGCAGACGGTGGAATTTTAACCATTGTAGAGACAGTTGAAGACGGATCTCTTGTCAGCACAGAGCACGCCGTTGGAGCACTGCTATCGTTATGTCTAAGCTGCCGGGATAAATACCGGGAATTAATTCTTAAAGAAGGAGCAATTCCAGGCCTGTTACGCCTCACAGTAGAGGGCACAGTCAAAGCTCAAGATAAAGCCCGCACACTTTTAGATTTGCTCCGAGATTCTCCTAAAGAGAAAAGACTAGACTCATCGGTTTTGGAGAAAATTGTTTACGACATTGCTGAACGGCTAGATAGTGTAGATAAAGCCGGCGAAACTTCCAAATGATTGTTGCATGAAATGGTTCAGAGGAGTATGGAAAACACAGCATGTGCTAAGTAGCATCTTTTTTGCTCAACAAGAAGCTGTGTACAATTGAGTTTCAACTTGTATATATATGTTGTTTCTCTGTCTATTTTTTTCTTTGGGTCAGTTAGTGTTTTAGTCAGATAACCATTCAAAATGTGTCTATTGATGTTTACCAATCTAACTTTGATTTATTGACCTCATAATTACACTGTATATCTCAGCCAAGATAGTGCACATACGAAAAAGGATAGAGGATGCACTGTTGTTATGTAGCACTGACATATTTAAAAAGACGTGTATGTGTCCCGACACTGATATTTGTGGCTATCCGACACTGATATTTGTGGCTACGTTTAATTAATTTTTTTTTAAAAATTATTATTGATGTCGACGTGTTAGAGTATGAGTTGGTGGTGTTGAGTCTATCCATCCCTTTCAAGTTGAGTTATTCATTGGAAAAAGGTTTAACTAATTAGAAAATAACACAAACAATATTGCAATATATTTTGACCATTTTTGAGCTTGTTTATATAAAGAAATTCAAATACAGTGCAATGGTATTCGAAACTGTTCTATAATTTAAATGTTAAATTGTTTTTTATTAATTTTTCAGATTTTATAAAATAGTGTTTATATTTTATGAAAATTTAAATTCTTCTTTAATATTTTTAAAAATTACAAATGATTCTCTAATAATTTTTAAAATTTATATATTGGTCCCTTAAAATTCTCAAATTGTAAATTGATCCCTATTTTTGATATTTTAAATTTAACCCAAAAGTTTTAAATTTTATAAAAATAATTTCAAAAATTTAACAATAAATCATTTTAATACTCCATCCAAATAAAAAAAATTAAAATTGAATGAATTTCAATTGAATCATTTGAACTGCTTAGAATTTTAAATTTCTTAAAATTTTTCAATTACTTCGTCCAATTGGAGAAATTTAAAATGACTTGACCAAAATCCATTGTTTGGATTGAAAATATAAAGAATTGTTAAAATGATGTAAAATTTTGAAGTATTTTATTCAAATTAAATTTAAGAATTTTCAAATGACACAAAATATAAAGAATTCGAAATTACTCGTTCACTCTATATAATGTAAATTTTAAATTGTTCATTATTAATTTTTCAAAATTTTTAAAATGGTCCTCATATTTTATGAAAATTTCAAAGTCACCCCTAATTTTTTTTAAATTGCAAATAAGTCCCTAATATTTTTTCAAATTTTACAAATTAGTCCCTTTAAAATTTTCAAAACTTTTTAAAAAATTTATGAAAATGACCTCAAACATTTAACAATGAATCATTTTAATACTCTATTCAAACAAAAGAATTAAAAAATGAATGAATTTCAATTGAATCATTTAAATTGCTTACACTTTTGAATTATTTAAAAATTTTCAATTATCTCATCCAAACACACTTTAAGAGTAAATGGGTTTTTGTACGTGACAAGTATATTGTGTTGCTAGTGTATAATAGTTACAATAGAAATTATGTTATACTATTACTTTCATTAATATCCTTTTAATACCTCTTACAAAATAATTCTTCAAACTTGTGAGAAGAAATGCTTTTATCGTTACATAAACACATTGATGATAACTTGAAGAGAATTTCTTATGGCACCCAGTGTGTTTCTACCACACTATGCAAATTTTTTAAGATCATTTCTAAGTGACACCCTTTTGTTTGTTTAATTTATTCTGAAAATGCATCTCTAAGATAATTTTGTAATTACATTTTTGGAAACACACTAATATCAAATTCAACACAAAAAGTAATTTTTCAAAATAAAATTAACATTCGTAACATTCTTAATTATCTCATCCAAACACACTTTAAGAGTAAATGAGCTTTTGTACATGAAAAATATATTGTGTTGCTAGGGTACAATAGTTACAATAGGAATTATGTTATACTATTACTTTCATTAATATCCTTTTAATACCTCTCACAAGCTAATTCTTCAAACTTTGTGGAAAGAAGTTTCGATACATCAACACATTGATGATAACTTGAAGAGAATTTTTTGTAGCACCCTATGTGTTTCTACGACACAATGCAAATGTTTTAAGATTATTTTTTAGTGACGCCCCTTTGTTTGTTTAATTTAATTCGGAGATGCATCTCCAGAATAACTTTGTAGTTACATTTCCAGATACACACCAGTATCAGATTCAACACAAAAGTAATTTTTCGAAATGAAAATAACAATCGTAACATAAAATAAGCATTACAATGATGATTTCAACATGAAATGCAACATTACACTTCAATATCCTGATGGACGCTTCAACATCTTCGCAAAATCTTCGACCAATCTTGAAATCTTTGCTTCCAACTCGAGCGGAATTTTTTCTTCAAAATGAAAAATATGTATTTCAAATAGCTGTTACATCTGCTTGCGTCTTGAGCTCAAATTTGCTAAACTCAATCTTCCCTTTGCCGTTAATTGACGCTGAACGGTACTCGAGCTTCACAATCTTTCGATTGTCTCTATAAGGTAGGAGATGTCGGATTTCGTCTTTGATATCTTCAAGGGAGGTGAAAACGATGAGCTTAAACGTTCACTCGGGTGTAGAGCTGGAGAATGAGACATATGTGACATACCAATAAATGTTTATTTGTGACATTTGAGACATTTTTAGTTTATATGAAATATAATATAAGGGCACCTAAATTTATAGAAGCGTTAGATCAATTTAGACCACTCATTAACTGTCATATTGATTCTGGAGATGTATCTCTAGAACTGTACCCTATTATCTTGTTCTGGAGATGCATCTCCAGAACTTCTCCTGAATCAGTTTCAGAACATAACCTTATTTTTTTTTACAAAAGCATAAAATTTATTATGGGGAAGATAAAAAATGCATTAAGACACAATATGAATAAATGTTAAATATATTACACTTCATTTATATTGATACACAATTACATACATTTATTTGTTTAGATAAACAAGATATTAACGAACCGAAATATTTTTCATCGAATAAATCTATTAGTGGCACCCCTTGGACTTTTGTGTTAGAACACAGATTGGTGTTTAATATATCTCTATGTTCTGATGATAACACTAATGAAATTTTGTATTAAGAAAATATATACTCTAATTTTGTTCAAGTGTTTTTGTTTCAGATATTAAAATAAATATTCTTATGGAAGCAAAAATGCATCTGAACATTACTCTACGCAAAGCTCTGAAGCATCAGAAGCAAGTCATCAGAAGACTCTGAGCGCTGCCAGAAGAGACTCTGAAGTAGAAGCTGCAGAAGACTCTGAAGCAGAAGCTGCAGAAGAATCTGAAGCGTAGTTGAAGAATTTGTATGAAGAGTTTCAAGCATTGTTTCAAGAAGACTCTGAAAGTACTTTTCGCTGCAAGTACAGAGACTCTGTTATTCAAACTCTGCTCTGATTGATATTCACGCTGAAGCACATTGGCTGCAAAACTCTGATAACATCAAGACTCTGATGCCATCAAATTCTGATCACTTCAAGACTCTGATGTTGATAACTTTGAGACAGAAGCTTGTTGAAGAAGATATTATTCAAAGATATATCCGTTGACATATTCCAAACGAATCTTTCCTTATTCATGTATGGCACAGGAAATCAGACAAAAGGGATTTGTCTAAACATTCCTCTTCTGGGAAAGCTAAAGTCAATAGAAGAGAAAAAGGCTACAGCTGCTCTGTTACACACAGTCTTCAAGCATTGGACTTTCTGCTCTATAAAAGGAAGTCTTCAACAACATTTCAAAGTTGACAAATTATTGAGAAATCAAATTGAAAACTACTCTCAAACTCTCATACAATATATTTCATAAGCTGAATAGTTTTTATTCGTTCTTAATCTAAGTGTAAAAATCACAGTTGTGATATAGATTTTTAGAAGCATCTTAAACACTTGTTAGTTTACATTTATTTGTAAAATGTTCCTTAAGAAGACCAAGTTGTGGTCAGGATTTCTTGAGAAGACTAAGACAGTTGTTCTTAGTGGTTGACACTGTAATCTGTTTGAATATAGTGGATTAAGTCCTTGTTGAGAAAGGAAAATCACCTTGGTAGGGTGGACTGGATTAGTTGAGTTCAACGAACCAGGATAAAAATACTGTGTTGTTTTTATTGCGATAATTATTTCAAAACCCTTATTCAACCCCCTTCTAAGTGTTTTTCCCACCTTCAGTTGGTATCAGAGCTTCAGCTCTGTTGTGCTATCACTTAACCGTAAAAGAGAAAAGATCCAGTGGGAAAACTCGATATATTTTGGTTGATACATTATGGCTGAAGCTTCAACATCCAACAACAAATATGAGGACAGAGATAGAATCATCACTAAACCTCCCATGTTTGATGGTGAGAAGTTTGACTACTAGAAAGATAGAATTGAAAGCTTCTTTCTAGGATATGATGCTGACCTTTGGGATTTAGTCATTGATGGTTATGTTCACCCCACTGATGGGGATGGCAAAAAGATTGACAGAAAGTCAATGACTGAAACTCAGAAGAAAGAATTCAGGAATCATCATAAAGCAAGAACCATTCTACTAAATGTTATATCTCATACTGAGTATGAGAAAATTACTAACAGAGAAACAACATTTGGTATGTTTGAATCTTTGAAGATGACTCATGAAGGAAACTCCCAAGTAAAGGAGACCAAGGCTCTGGCGCTGATCCAGAAATATGAAGCCTTCAAAATGGAGGAATCTGAATCTGTAGAAGCTATGTTCTCTAGATTTCAGATTCTCACAGCTGGCTTGAAAGTTCTGAACAAGGGTTACTCCACTGCTGATCATGTCAAGAAGATCATCAGAAGTTTTCCAACCAGATGGAGACCAATGGTCACAACTCTGAAGCTTGCAAAGGATCTGAACAAGATCAAACTGGGGGAACTGATAAGCTCTTTGAGGATTCATGAGATTGAACTAGAAGAAGACGAACCTCAGAAGAAAGGTAAGTTTGTT